GGCCCATTAGACAGCTTTAGAAAATGTCGAGGAGTGGATAGATTTGAACTCTTAACTGTAATATCATAGGTTTTACAGCTTTTTCTATTTATAAGGGCTGCCGTTCATAATAGACCAAAGTAATTAACAGAAAAACAATAAAATAACAGGAAAGTTCCTGTTTTTCCACAGTAAATGAACAAAACCTTTATATCTTATAATTACAGGACACTCTGCTTAATGAATTACCATAACTTTTGCAGAAATTTTACATATTTATCACATGATTTCACTGCTCTGCCCCACTTAAGATCATAGTGGGCTCTATGTGTGGCCCAGCATGTAAAATGAGTTTGACATCCCTGCTTTAAGGTCTAAAACTTTAATCAATATATATTTTTTTTTACTTACTTGTTGAGCAACAGTTCACTGGCCGTCAGTTCAGTAGTCATAGAGGGCAACATGATGTCCGACCTGCTGTCTGAGTGGCTGTCTGAGGTCATGACCATGCACCTCTTCCTATCTGTGTCACTCTCATCGTCACTAACTTCCAAGCGGTCGAAGCTGACTGCCTTGCTGTAGCTGGGAGGCACATCCGCATCAGATGTTTTAGAGGCATCTGTATCTGGAGTGTAGAGCAGCTCTGTTTGACCCTCCGTAGGCATGAGGTCCTGCTGTCCTGCACCATCTTCACTCTCAGTGATGAACTCTTTCTCCTGGGCAGAAGGAGAAGCGTGTAATTCTTCCACTCTTAAGGAGGGGCCCTCGTCTGGACCAAAAGACTCCCAGTGAGCCTCCTCTCTCTCCTGGTCCTGCTGTTCCTGTAGTCCTTCTTCACCCTCTAATCCCTTCTGCCCTTCCTCCACCACCTCTTCTTCCTCTTCTTTTTTTTCTTTCTCCCTGGGCTCTCCATCACTCAATGCCACACCCTCAGCCTCCCCAATCTCATCAAACTGTTGAGATTCCCAGGGAACCTGCTGCTTGTCTTCCCCTTGATCGTGCTCATCCTCCACTTCTTCTATGGTATCAGTAGTTCCCTGTCTAGAGTAAATTATGACACACTGGGTTGGCTCACTGTGAACGAGAAGACAAAACAAAACAGGGATTGTGTCAGATGTATCAATTTATTTGTACTTTCTAAATATTGATTTGGGTTCTCACTATATCTGGAATAAATAAAAAACTGGCATCAAGCAGAAACCAAGCGTGTAGACACACTAATACATTTTTAGACTACATTAACCCATATTATGGAGTTTTATTTGTAAGCACTGACAGGACCTAAAAATGTTTAAGGGCAAATTTCTGCATAAAAAATTGCTTTAATCCACCTGTTTAGCCTGTTTTAACTTATTGGCAAGTTATTCACAAATTATGGGTTAACACAACAGGAGTTGTTTTTTAATAGTGCTTCAAAAAAAGTGTTTTCCCCCCATCCTGATTTCCTAGTGTCTTGCATATTTGTCACATTTACATGTTTCAGACCATCAAACCCGAGTAAATACAAAATGCAGTTTTTAAATAATGTTTTTATCGATTAAGGGAGAAAAGTTATCCAAGCCTACCTGGTCTTGTGTGAAAAAGTAATTGCCCCTTTTGTTAAATCATGAATTAACGGTGATTAACCACATTTTCTGGAAAATTGAGTTAAGCTTGACTAAACACACTGACGCCTGGCAGACCTGTTGAATCAAGAAATCACTTAAATAGAATCTGTCTGACAAAGTGAAGCAGGCTAAAAGATCTGAAAAAGCAACACATCATGTCACGATCTAATGAAACACCTGAGAAACAAAGACACTGACATCTATCATCTGGAAAAGCTTACAAAACCATTTCCAAGGTTTTGAGACTCCATTGAACCACGATGAGAGCCATTATATACAAATGGAGAAAACTTGGAACAATGGTGAAGCTTCCCAGGAGTGACGGGCCAGCCAAAACTACTCCAAGAGTACACTGATGACTCATCCAGGAGGTAACAAAAGACCCCAGAACAACATTAAAGAACCACAGGCTTCACATGTCTCAGTTAAGGTCAGAGATCATGATCATTCAACAATAAGAAAGAGACTGGGGGAAAAAGTCATACATGGGAGAGTTCAAGGGGAAAACCAGTGCTGACCAAAAAGAACACAAAGGTCTGTCTTACATTTGCCAAGAAACATCTGGATGATCCCCAAGACTTTGGGGAAAATACTCTGGGGACCGGCAAACAAAAGCTGAACTCTTTGAAAGATTTTAGTCGTGTTACATCTGTCATAAAAGTAACACAGGATTTCACAAAAGGAACCTCATACCAAGAATAAAATATGGTGGTGGTAGTGTAATGGTCTGGGGCTGTTTTGCGGGCTCAGGACCAGGAAGATTTGCTGTGATAAATGGAACCAGGAATTCTGTTGTCTACCAAAACATCCTATAGGAGAATGTCCAGCCATCGGTTCCTGACCTCAAGCTGAAACACACTTGGGTTCTGCAGCAGGACAACGATCCACAACGCACCAGCAAGTCCAACTCTGAATGGCTTTAGAAAACAAAAATGAAGACTATGGAGTGGCCTAGTCAAAGTCCTGACCTGAATCTGATGACATGACCTTAAAGTGGTTCATGCTTGAAAACTGGCTAGATTAGAACAATTCTCCAAAATCTCTCCAAAGCGCTGTAAAAGACTCATTGCCAGTTATCACAAACTCTTGATTGCAGTTGTTGCTGCTAAGGGTGGCCCAACCAGTTATTAGGTTTGTGCTTACTTGTGGTATTTTTGTCTCATATTTAAGTTTGTTTGATGATCTGACACATTTAAGTGTGACAAAGACAGAAAAAAATAGGAAATCAGGAAGGGGTCAAACACTATTTCACACTGCTGTATGTATTACATTCTGGATTGATCATCTAAGTGTTGCATGACTGGCAGAGCCTCTGGACAATCACAATTCCAAATAATGGTCCTTCTGCCTTTTCAGTATAACGATAACCATAACAGAAGAATAATAGCTGGTTAGCGCAGAAGGCTAAGATGCACTTTAACAAATATGCTGTTAAAGTTCATCTTGTGACCATGAAAGAAATCAAGCAGGCATCATTTGGGACAGTTGGAACAGCAAACCATTAGAAAGGAACTTTCCCTGTCAAAGTAAAACTATTGTTCAGTCCAACCCAAAAAAAGAAAGAGGCAGTTGTTTAAAAGAAGCAGGTCACAATTTACAAAACCCCTTCTTGTAACAATATTATTACTGAACAACAACTTGTGTTTAAGGTTAAAAAATGGATTTGTGACAGAATGAAATACAAAAGTAAAAAAGTTTGAAAAAGAAATCATGCAGTGATTCAGCAGACGTTAATAATCAATGCAAGACTGATGAAAACACAAAAAAGACAGAAGAGATGCAATGATATTTTCTGTGTGTACATGCAAAGGCCCGGCACCTGGATATGAAGCTGCTGCCGCTGTCCACTGATGAGCTGGACATATCCAGCCTAGGTGATCTTTTAAGTTTGGGCCTGGCACGCTCACTGGTTTTGGGAATGCACTCTGGCATTGCATCCAAGTCTTCCAAGGTGGATTGGCGAGAAAACAGTGTGGTGGCATCAGTGCAGCCACTGATAGGTTGTGAGAGTGACAAATGGGATGATCAGTGGTAAGAAGGATGACATGAAATCTATGTTATGTTAAACAAAAGAGATGATATTCTGCAAATAAAAAGCATCTGTAAAGATCATAGATGATGTGATGATTAACACAAAGATACAGTAAAGCATTTTGGTGAAATGGCTCAGTGTGATGATAATGTGCTGATAGAAAACAATGATAAGTTTGTTTTTAATGCATTGAAGCAGTAAACGTATACAGGTTTTTATTGCTTCTTTCACATTTGCACAATACTGCACATAAAGACAACCTGAAACCGTTCAGGATGGCATCTCGTTGAGTCTCCACATTGCACCGCTAATCTACCTGGACATGCTCTCTCTGGAGGCCGTGGACTCCTGGCTCTCCATCCGGTAACCTCCTCGCCTTCTGCGGACCCCGATGGAGCCCGAGACTGAGTCGTCCTCGCTCAGCACATCCATGCTTGCCTGTCTGGACATGTTAAGCCTCATGGCCTTGTGGTAATAAACATGGATGCTCTCTCTGGATGGCACGTTACCCTGGTGGGAGGAGAAGAGATCTGATCATACGTATTCCACTGAGGGATTTTATAAATGATTCCGTGAAAGCACATTTAAATGAACTCTACTTCTACATGTTTAAGGTCACTGCAGAGAGCTGCATACCTTCTTGACCTCTCGAGTCAGCATGCAGCGCTCTAAACGCAGCACAGTGGAGATGTCAATGTACTCTCTGCACATTTCATTCATCCATTTAGTGAAGCTTTCCACCGTCGTCTGGAAGAGCATCCAAGTGACCTTGATGATGTTGAACACTCGTTTGATGATGTTGTCTGAGGAAGAGCACACGACAGAAAATGCATTAAACGTGGTCGAATTAAAAACTCATACTTAAATAAACCTTTTCATTAAATAATTTACAATGTTTTATGTCCAAATGCCAGTAAAATTCCTTGAAATAATGATTTCAGTAATTCCTGCCTTAGTTCCTATCACCATTGGGATCCTGATTTGCTGTGATTGGCCATGGGAGTCTAATTGCCAAATAGCTAGATTGATTTTTTATATTAATATATCACATTTAAATCCTAATAATTATCGCTCCTTATTGAACTAAGGTTATTGCACCCATAAATCTGTTTGGTTTTACAGGGGATTTACAAAAGTTGCACCGTTTTCTAAACACAGACAAGTTAATCAATTACAGTATCAAGCCCAAAAAGTATGACATTATTTCTGGTTGTTTTATTTGCTGAAACAGCAATCTAATAAATATTAATCTGATTTAATCACTGAAAATACTGGTAGCATAAAGATTCCCACTGGAAAATACATTTTAATATGTATACCAGTTTTTCTCATGATGGAGAATTTGGTCATTGTAAATTGGAGAGCTGTAATTTGTAAAACTGAGTGTCATAAAACCTGGGCCACCAGATTTCTTGTTCTCATCATCTTTTTCTTGCCCATCAGACAGCTCGCCAAGGTCGATGGTCACGCGACCTGCTGATGTACAGTGCAGACAGTTTAGTATCAATTTAAAGTCTGTTTCAAGTCAGGAAAAAAATTCCTTTCTAGAGCTGACTTACCATCTTTCTTGCTTTTTCTGTGTCTAACTCCTTTCGTGTATCTCTTCCAAAATTTACGCTTCGCTTTGCCTCGCGCCCTGAGAGCAGCTTTGGGGTCTGTGATCCAGGTTTGATACATATACTGGAGAAAGGAGGGCAGCAGTTAAGTTTTAATGAACGTCACTGAGGGGAATTATGCCAAAGCCACAACAGGAAAAAAAAATATTACAAAGTATATATATAATCATTAAAAGTCATGTAAATGTTATGCTGCTCTATTTTTAGTATTTCTTAAATCTAGCCTAGAAATAAAATCAACAATTCATCATAGTGAACATTCATATGATTAAAATACCAATTACATCTTTTGTTTGCCTTTTAAACAAAACATGCTTGAGATTTCTTTAATGCAAGACCACCATCACCTTACTTTACACCAAATCTTTACAAAAAAGAGAAAGAAAAGCGAGGGAGATCGTTTTCCAAACAGTTTTTTAACTCTGACTTTGATTTCTAAAACTTGTGTAACAACCTATAATACCTATTTTACACCCAAAAAAAAAAATCTTTACCAGGAATAGGGACCACAGATCAAATTTGAATTATGTTGTACGTTACATATGTGATAGATCGTCAGAGCAGCGAGCCACATAAAATGGCCATGACACACATGCAAACACCAATCAGTCAGACAGTAACAATACATGGTACAAACACATTCTCATTCCAAGTCGAATTTGGTGATCTGTGTAAGTTTAGTGTTTTGGAACCGGACAAATAAACACATCTATTAATTTACAGCATGTTCACCAAACACGAGCTGGAAAGGCAGTTGTCTGTGGTGTTAGCTGTTATTTGAACTGGCAGATGTTCACAGAGAGAGCCAGCTGTGTTAGATGAGGGTGAATACCTTGCCTGCCTTCACTACATACTGCAGCACAGTTTTAGGCAGCTTAATGACAGATTTGGGTAAAGCCAGAAGAGCGGAGACAAACTTCCCAATAGCTCTCTGAAGAGAGGGAACAGAGTGGGGAGAGGGTTAGTAGAAAACAATTTCATACTGTTAGAAACAACAGAGGTTAATTGTGTTAGGAGGCAGCAAACAAGAGGAGGACTTCAAAGTAAAATTATAGGTGTTTATTGAAAGGTTAGTGCCTATTGCATCACAAATCACATAGAGTACTGCGCAAAAGTCTTCTTTATATTTTTCTAAGAAAATGGGCTATAGGTCCAGTTATTTATTTAAACATGTGCAAACATGCATGGAAAGTGCACAGTATGTAAATTAAGATACAGAGTTTAAATTTTAATGAGCTTGACAGTCAATATTTGGTATTATCACCAGTATTCTTAAACACAGCCTGAGCAGTCTTCAGGAATAGTTCTCCAGGCTTTTTGAAGGACATTCAAAGCTCTGCTTTGTATGTTGGGGGCCTTTGTTCTGTTCTCTGTCAAGATGATCCCACACTGCTTCAATAATGTTGATGTCCAGGCTCTGGGGAGACCAATCCATCACTGTCAGTGTTTCACTGTGTGGTTTTTCTATCCAGGTACACTTTTACTGCATTGGCAGTAAAAGTTTGGGATCATTGTCAAGCTTTTAAATGAAGCTGCTCTCAATAAGATGCTTTCCAGATAACATTGCACGATGGATCCAAATCTCGTGGCACTTTTCTGTGTACATAATTCCATAATAATTCCAGTTTTGACAAAATCCCCAACATTGCTAGCTGACATGCAGTCCCAAACCGTAACAGAAACTACACCGTGTTTTACAGATGACTGCACTCATCTCTTCTTGACCTGATGAGAATTTGAACCAAAAATTTTAAATTTTTATTCCAGTTCGTGTGTTTGTGCATTTGGTGTACCTTGTACACCAGTGCCCTGTTTCTCAAGGACATGACTTTAAGATACTGTTCATCTACAGTAGATCGTGTTTTTCTTCTGTACAAAAATGTATAGAAACAATACTGGTTCACCCCATAAGTTAGGAGCATTTTAATGGTTGGATGACTCATAGGCCAGTGTTAAGTGGCTTAACAAACGAAAAAGCATTCCTCTAATAAAAATAGTCAGGTAGACGGACTGGACTGAAAATGAGCGAAAAAGAAGTCAATGTCCGAAGAAAACCTTTGGGAAACCTTCAGAAAGCCTGGGCACTTATTGCTCAAATCCACTTTAAAAATGACAGCTCTGGCTCCTTGGAAACAAAATATAAAGAAATAAAGGGTGGCTCAAGACTTTTGCACAGTACCATACATCCCAACTTCTACATTTAACCCAGGAAAACAGGAATGAACAGTACTGTAAGTGTAAAACTCTTTCTAGGTGATATCTTTATATATACTTATTATATTATATATACTTATACTTTATATACTTAATTTTGTTCATCAGTTGGTGTGTTTGTGATAGTGGGAGGGTTACAGACATGAGTTGAGAAAGAGGCCAGAAAAACAGGCTATAGTTGTGGTTACAACATGATGAAGTAGTCTTCCATTGTGTTACATTGTATACACAAATGAAATGTTATGAAGTGTTATGTCTACCTGTGGATGTGAGGACAGAAAAAAAACATTGCTCACTCATACACAGAGGTACACAGTACTACAAATACTGCTGTGTTTCCTCTTTCCAGAATGACACCTTTGTGTTTTAAACTTCATTTGCTTCTCCACTTCTGCTTTAAACATAGTAAATGAGCCAATATGACATCATTCACTATTTTGGCTGTTGCTATTCTGTTTTTTTTTTTTTAAAAGCAAACATCAGAAGTGATGGGTGGATGTGCTTGAGAAACCGAGGAACCTGCAAACTCATAGAGTAACAAGTTGTCAATCAGAAAGTATACGCTGGTTTATCATCTAATTTATACATTTTAAAAAAGAGCATCACATTGTATTCAGCAAGACTTTGAAAATAGTGACTGACATCATAAACTCTTTAGGAAAGTGTTACTGTGTCTATAAATCATGTGAGAAATAGGGTCACTTTCCCATAGACTTCTGTGTAATCAGATTTGTTTTTACAATGCAAGGAGCTGCCCCCTGCTGGCCATTTGAAACAATGCAACCTGCATTCGCTTTGCTTTTATGAATCACAGCATTTCCCACTCTGAAGCCAAAATATAACCACCTGAAATGCTGACTTCTTTGGTGGATCGTCATCTTTTTTCTCTTCTTCCTCCTCTGCTTCTTCTTCACTGTCAGTTTCAAACAAGTAGTAGTCTCCACTCCTAACCACTGAGGGGCAGAGCGCAAAGCACTGTTACATTCACTCAAACACGGCCTGAAGTCATTTATTGCTTTTATGACATTAAAAAAAACAACAACAGAAGGTTCACTTGCTGTAAGGAAGAAACACAACCACATTAAACTCTACATATTTCTCTATCAAACACTTGCATATATCTATGGCTCGTTGTGATATAGACGCACTTTTAAGAGGATGAAACCACACGTTAGTAAAATGAACGAAAGTATGAGCAGAAAACACAACGAGGAATGTCTGTTATTCTCATATTTCAGTCGCCCTGGAGTGACTCCAGTCTACAGTAGTTAAGTGTTAGAAGCAATGGGATAGACAAGGCTGACTTATGTCCTTGAACAGAACCGCAGTGCGCAGGAGATGAGGGGAGGATGCTGGGAAATGGAGATGAAACATCAAATGACAAAGAGATAAAATGGAGAAATAATTTGAAAATGTCATGTGGGGGTGGAGTATGATATGAGACATGAGTTCAAAACAAACAGGCAACCGCTGTATTGACTCAGGGAAATGCTGGCATTTTTTTTTTATTTACCACAAACCGACTGTAAAAGCCATAATTTTACATATTTAATCACTGGTCTGATTGCTGTTCTATTTTCTCCTAGGTAATGCCTGTTTGGTGATCATGTCTGCAGGCAAAGAATGAACTAAACCTTCAGCCTTTATTCCAGTACTGAGAATGAAGGCTTGTCAGCTTCATTTCTTTGCTTGAAAATATTTTGCAATAGAGTGATTCTCTACTGTAGGCTCTTTAGGTGAGACCAGTGATGAAGTTTATGTTTTAAACAACGTCAAGTAAAAAACCTCCAGACGTTAGTCATTTTCCCTTTCTTCATTGCTTCTATTTAAGGCAACCCTGTGCTGCACTCTTGCTGAGACTGTTACGCTTTTATAAACCTATGAGTCTTGCCACACTTGCTTTGTAAAGTTACGCAAGAGCTACAGGTAACGGGGATCCTTAAATAGAGACAGAAAAAGATTAAAGTCCGGAGGGAGAAGGCAGATACTATATGATGTTGCCTTTAGAGCCCATGGGCAGTATGGGAATCCTCAGCGTTCTGGTCAAGGACACAAGGGCCAATCAGAGTGGAGGAAGAGAAAAAAGAGGTTTTGGGGGGGTCAACCTACTGGAAGCATGGTCAACCCACGGCCTCCACCACTGCTTTTTTTTGGTCTTGGCTTTCGTTGGCTGTGCTCCTAAAATTTCACAAATACATCAGTGCAACATTTAATAAGAAATTCAGTTCTGTAAACTTCAAGACACAAATCTAGTATGTGAAGCTTTTTATTTAGTTCCGATGCTAATAGAAATGACACTATTATAGACATTCTGTTCTTCTTATAAACGATCATGAACGCCCACCCTCCTTGAGTAATACCAAAACTCATAGTATTTCTACACCCAGCAGGCTTTGTCATACCATCATCGTCATCCTCTTCGGGCGGGACTATCGTCTGTCCATCTACAGAATGTTGAGCCAGGCTCAGCATCTTCTCCTTGCCCCGCTTAAACTTTTGCTGCCTCAACTTAATGCGCTCCATCCTGATTAGATCAAAGAGAAGGTGACGAGACACGGAGAATTGACACAGAGGAACAGTGTAACAGACTGACCATAAACACCTCCAGGCTTCATGTGGACATTACTGTACATTATGTAACAATGGAGTGCTCATTAGAGAGGGCGAGTGGACATCATCAGAGCTTGTGAGTAACCCCTGAGTCACTATGAGTGGTGGAAATACATTGGCTTGATGAAGAAACAATGATGAAACTGAGCCAGGAGACACTTTGAGTCTAGTTTTTCTGCATCATGTTTACCTAGCTGTGAGCTAAATTAGAGGGGGCCTAATAAAAGACACTCAAAATTATGAAACAGACATAACTGTGTTTTAGTTTAACTCAGTGTTTAGTGATATTTTGCATTTATGTATTGTCGGCAAAAACAATAAAAGATCTGGTGCCGCTAAAGTCACTCAACTAAACTTAATTCTCATATAAAACAAATTAAACACACATATTTGAGTCGCTATGTTGCACTGCAAGACACGCTTTTCATCATTACCCCGAGTGCTCCGACTGACACCCACACCTTCCACATCTACTCCGCCTCCTCTCTCAGCTCTTGATATTTCTCAAGCTTTTTGTGTTCCTTCTTTCTGATGTTGCTATCATTTGGTGTAGCTACATATGTCACTGCAACCTTCTTCATCTATGTCCGGTTGGTTAGCTATCACCAGTTTGTCCATCTGTATCTGGAAGTCCAACGGGATCTGAGCTTCTGAAGGGGTTCATAGGCCTGAACCTGCTGAGCCAGATGGTTAACAAGTAACAAAGAGAGGGAAGGGAGCTAGAACTTAGGGGATTGTACTACCACAAAGTAAGATTCTGATTCTGATTGAAGGCATCAAAGACAGCTACAAGTACCTTGGAATCCCACAGGCAAATGGGAACCAAGAAGCGCTCACAAGAAAAACTGCAACCACTTAATACCTGCACAGAGTAAGGCAAGTCCCGAGGAGCCAGCTGAATGGGAAGAGCAAAATCCGGGCAATCAACACCTACGGCCTGCCGGTTGTCAGATACCCTGCTGGGTTAATAAGCTAGCCAAAGGAGGAGATAGAAGCTACTGACATCAAGTCAAGGAAGCTCCTTACCATGCATAGAAGGTTTCACCCAAAGTCCAGCACCCTGAGACTGGACGCTAAGTGGAAGGAAGACGGCTGAAGACTAGTGAGTGTCAGAACCACTATCCAGGATGAAACAACACAGATCCATGAGTACTTCAGGAAGATGGCCACAACTCATCATGTGCTTGGTGAATACGTCAGTCAGCAGAAACCAGAAAACGCATGTACCACCAACAGATAGAAGAAGTAACTGATATAGAAAAATCCCACCAATGGCTGGAAAAAACCAGACTGAAAGACAACATAAAGGCACAAATCATGGAAACACAGGAACAAGCTCTAGGTACAAGTTCATTAGAGAATGGGATCTACCACACCAGACAAGACCCCAGGTGCAAGCTGTGCATAGAGGCCCCTGAGACAATTCATCACAGCAGAAGTGAAGATGTTTCTCCAACCTTCTGTTATCCAATTTTGGTGAGCCTGGGCAAATTATAACCTCAGTTTCCTGTTCTTAGCTTCCCAAAGTGGCACCACATTTGGCCTTCTATAACCAAGTTGCTTCAAGATTTGACCTGTTATGGATTCTGAGATGTTCTTCTGCATACCTTAATTATAATGTGCAGTAATTCAGTTACTGTTGAGTTAACGAACAGGTGTAGCTAGTAAAATGACCAGTGGGTATATATTTGCACCCAAGTGCCACGATGAAGCAAGGCAGGAAGTAGTAAAATTAAAATTTTTTTCAAGGAATGTAAGGATAGATTTCAGATAAGAGGAAAGAAAAGCAGCTAATTATAGCAGCTACTGGGTAGAAAAAAATGAATTCTGATTTAATCTAAAGAAAATTAAAAGAAAATTCAATTTCATGATTAAAAAAAATCCTTCACTTGTCATTGGTTTTGCTTTTTTCTTGTGCAGACAACTGCAGAGCAGTTACGTGTCTTAGGAAAATAATCACTTTTCCATTCAGTGTTGGCTCAAAAGACAGTGACATCACAGACACATCATTTCATCAGAGGAAGGTTAAATGTTTGGAGTCTCACTGTCTCTTCAGCTGCTCCACGGACTTGCGCTCCTCCTCCAGTCTGGCTCTCACTGCCTTCACTATAGTTGCTTGGAAAAGCTCTGCACCTCTGAAAAACACAGAAAGACATTAGGAAAACATTTTGTTTGGCACGCCTGTATTTGTCAGGTAGAAAAGTTTATGCTTTGAGAAGAAATTTTAATGCACGAGCATTGGTCTTGAATAAACCAAATCTGTATTTCTAATTAAATTGACTCCATGTAGCTGTCTCACTCAGTTAAATACCTGGAAGCGAGGATCTGTGATGCTCTGATATCTGCCACCACATGTAGAAAGTAGTAACTCATGAAGACTCGTCTCTGCAAGAGCAGGAAAGCAAAGCAGATACTGTCCCAGATGATGCCGGCCTCATTGCTTGGCACCTCACAAATATCCTTAGCATCTGGAATTCACATACAACACAGCCATATTTATTAATCAGGCACAACATTACGACAACTGACAGGTGGCGTGATTAACACTGATTATCTCCTCGTCATGGCACCTGTTAGTGGGTGAGCTACCTCAGGGAGCAAGTGAATATTTTGTCATCAAAGTTAAGGTGTTAGAAGTGGGAAAAATGCAGACCGTGTACACCCTTTCATAAAACCTGTTTCAGCAGGATAATTCACCCTACAACGAAGCAAAAATGGTTCAGGAATGGATTGATGAGCACAACAAGTTTAAGGTTTTGACTTGGCTTCCAAAATTCCCACATCTCAATCCAATACAGTATTTTTGGGATGTGTTGGACAAACAAGTGCCATCCGTGGAGGCTTGGATGGGATGGGTTTTTTTAAATGATTATTAACTAAGTTATAGGATTATACCTGCAAGTTGTTCATGAAAGTTAAAGCAATGTTTTAGTAATGAAAGTAGAAATTTGAGTCAATTCACCCTCTGCTTACTTGTATTTATGTCGTAGCCCTTGATGGTGCATGCCAGACTGAACACCTGGATTAACCAGCAGTGGTCCTGTAGCAGTTGGTTGATGTACCCACAAGCCAGGATCTAAAAACAATGTTGCTTTATTACACACTATAAATATTGCATTTTAACTGTCAACGTATCAGTTAAAACTTCACATTTATATTGCTTTGTAAATACTATGCAGATAATGTTTTCAAATCTCAGCGGTTTATCTCTTTTTATGTTGAATATATACATGATGATAATGGTATTATAATCAGTTTGTCATAGATTACTTACAGATAAAATGTTTTTCATAGTAATCACAAAGATGTTGTAGGCAATCAGGAAGTCCCAGTAGTGGAGGATCTTTCTGATTGGCTTCAGCAACAGGTCTCCACCAAAGAGCAGGAAGTAGAAGCAGGCCACCAAGTAACCCATACAGAAGACGCTGATACGTGTGGTTCCAGTGATGAAGATAATAGTGAGGACAAACCAGAAAAGGTAGCTGAACATGATAACTTTTAGCATGTCCAGGTAGGACCTAGAAATAGAGAAAAACAGTTTTTGTAAATGAAAAGACAAACAAGTGTCTGGTGTCACAGTGGCAGCTCCAAATGTGAATGAAAATTACTAACCTCCACAAAAATAAATAAATAAACAGAGAGATCAAATATGACATCCCAACATGGAGTCATGTGAAAATGAAAGTGCATCCTCTTTCATCTGGTGACTATCAGGTTCTAACATTAGGCAAATACAACCTCAAATGAAAAGCAACACATGACATATCACAGTGTCATTATTATTTATATAACAAGAGCTACGTCTCGCCCTCCACAGACCTTTAGCATGTTAAATGTTTATAACGTTATAATTAGAAAACTGACTCTGTCCACCAGCTAAAGGTTGGCTGAAATTGGGTCGAGCATGTGGACAATGACCCCAAAAACAGCCGTCTTGGTCGACATGCCTCTGCAACGTCGCATAGAGACCTGGGGTGATGCCTCTGGATTGCTAGACTGAGGTAGTGGGTCCCATCTTGCTCCAGCTATAGAGGGGATCACACTACTCAGCCTCCCTGGGAAGATCTATGCCAGGGTACTAAAAACGTTCACCTGTTAGTCAAACCTCAGATACACAGGAAGAACAATGTGGTTTTCGACTCAACCAGGCCCGCCCTTCGTCATGGATTCAGTTCATAATTTAGTTTGGAGTTAAGTGTGTAAAGCAACAGGAATAAGAATTAGCACGTCCAAGTCTGAGGCAATGGTCCTCATCTGGAAAACGGTGGAGGGCGAATTCCGGGTCAGGAATGAGTTGCTGATGATGAGCACAAAGAGTGAAGCTGTCATAGATACAAACAGCAGAAATGAGCTTTCTCCAAAGAGTAGCTGGTCTCTCCCTTTGAGATTGAGAGTGACATAATATTGAACCTCCCAAATTAATCTAGTTACATATATTTTTCTAGATCCAGGGACTCGATTCATAGTTGTTTTGGAACTCATTTTCAGTGCTGGTGGGTGTATAAAGTCTTGGACTGCTTTTATTTATATTCTGAAATCATTAGAATTCTGCTTGGAAAAAAAGTTAAAAAAATAAAATCCTGGGTAATTAAAAGTAATTAGCAAAATAGTCGTTACTCTGTGTTCAGCAACTAGCGTTTTTCAACAATTTTCAATCATGTCTCACAATGTCATCTTGTGTGGACTTATTTGAGCACTTTAATTCTCAAATAAATCCATAGAGTAAGACGTATATTTACACAAGGCCTGTTGCTGTCATGAAAAAGCAATGAGGGAGGAGGATGTAGTTGATGAGCTGATTTTAATCCCCGTGGACCCCAGCTAGCTGCTATTACAGGTTAGGGTACATGTTTACCACATAGCAAAAGTCAAAAGAGAATTATCTGCTCATCATTCACAATTAGGGTATCACTTAATGTCACTTAGAATCTGATCAATGAATAGGAATGAGAGCTGTAACCCGATCCTTTCGCTCAGCACAGGTACACTGCTGCATGTCTTGCGCGTCTCTAACATGCTAGGCGCATGTCTATGGCTCCATGTGAAAAGCTGACGATATGATGCGCAGAGTGGAAACATGAGATGTAGCATGCATTAATTTCAGATACATGGGGCCACAGTAACAGCTTCAACTCTTTAGAAAGCAGCTCTGATGAAGTGGGTTTGGATGGGACGATGCGTTGAAGGGCCGGAACAGCTGAGTGAGTGTCCTTCTTCATCAGGGGGAGAAAATACCTTTTCCATACTTAAAAGCTATTTATTGAGTTAGAGTACAAGGAAAAAGCGTCTGAGTCGGGGAGTGACGGACAGAGTGTTTTTGTGGATTATGGATTTCTCCCCCCACCCCGTATCCGTAATTCGATTCTGGAGGGAAACGATGGAATAAGTGCAGAGCTGCTGTGGCATGGACAGACGGGCTGTACAGCTCTTTCTCTTGCACTACTAGTGCTTGTTGATGGACACAGAGTGCGTTAATAAAAGACTTGTCCACTTTGCACACCAAAACAGTGGAATCTGAAGAGCACATAATCAATGAGTGTGGACAGGTCAGGATGCTCTTGCTGTCTTTTTAACTCGCGCCCTCTTCCCCTCAACATCCTGCGTTCACTCTTTATGTGCAAAGTCAGTATCCAGATCAGGCGAGTTTCTAAATTATGTATACAGCATGTATTTAATAACATTCCTCACTAAGCCTCTGACATGAGCTACTGTCAGCTGTCATTTTTTTCTTACCTTTATTTTTCTGGGAGAAAGTATTTGCTAACTGAGAACGTTCTTATTCAGCACCATCCCACTTAAGATTTCTGCAGTTACAGTTTGCAAGCACAACAGTTTTCTTCAGAGCACACCTCTGACAATGCAAATGGAG